AAGTGTGAAAACTACAGAGGCATTACACTACTGTCAATACCGGGTAAAGTCTTCAACAGAGTGTTACTGAACAGGATGAAAGACGCAGTTGACGCTCAACTTCGAGATCAACAAGCTGGATTCCGTAAGGACCGGTCGTGCACAGACCAGATTGCGACACTACGGATCATCGTCGAACAATCAATTGAGTGGGACTCGTCACTCTACATCAACTTCATTGATTATGAGAAGGCATTTGACAGTGTAGATAGGAGAACGTCGTGGAAACTTCTTCGACACTACGGAGTTCCTGAGAAGATTGTCAACATTATCCGGAACTCATACGATGGACTACAGTGCAAATTAGTGCATGGAGGACAGCTGACAGACGCATTCCAAGTAAGGACCGGAGTAAGACAAGGCTGTCTACTCTCTCCCTTCCTGTTTCTTCTGGTGGTCGACTGGATTATGAAGACCTCGACATCTGAGGGAAACTACGGCATACGAAGGACAGCACAGAACCATTTAGACGACTCGGACTTCGCAGATGACCTAGCCCTCCCATCCAATACCCACGAACAAATGCAGATAAAGACAGCCAGCATAGCAGCAGTCTCTTAATCAGTAGGCCTCAACATACACAAAGGGAAAACCAAGGTCCTCAAATACAACACGGAGAACAGCAATCCAATCACTCTTGATGGCGAAACTCTGGAAGACGTGGAATCCTTCACATACCTGGGAAGCATCGTCGACGAACAAGTTGATTCAGATGCGGACGTAAAGGTGAAGATTGGCAAAGCAAGGACAGCATTCCTTCAATTGAAGAACATATGGAACTCAAAACAACTTTCAACCAATATCAAAGTCAGAATCTTCAATACGAACGTCAAGGCAGTTCTACTGTACGGAGCTGAAACTTGGAGAACTACAACAACCACCATCAAGAAGGTACAGGTATTTATTAATAGCTGTCTACGCATGATACTCAACATCTATTGGCCGGATACCATCAGCAACAGCCTTTTGTGGGAGAGAACCAACCAGCTTCCAGCTGAAGAGGAAATTAGGGAAAGACGATGGAAATGGATAGGACATACATTGAGGAAATCATCAAACTGCATTACGAGACAAGCTCTAGCTTGGAATCCTGAAGGGAAGCGGAAAAGAGGAAGGCCAAATAACACATTACGTCGGGAAATAGAAGTGGATATGAAAGAGATGAATAAGAACTGGAAAGGGCTGGAAAGGATTGCCCAGGACAGGGTTGGATGGAGAATGCTGGTGAGCGGCCTATGCTCCTTCACGAAGAGTAACAGGCGTAAGTAAGTAAGTAAGTAAGTACGTCTGTTACTTCTGACGGAGCTTAGGCCACCGACCAGCATTCTCCAACCTACTCTAGCCTGGGCCTTTTTTTCTAGTTCCATCCAATTCTTGTTCATTTTTCTCATGTCTATGTCTATTTCCCGGCGTAATGTGTTCTTTGATCTTCCTCTCCTCCTTCGACCTTGAAGATTCCATGTGAGAGCTTGTCTTGTGACGCAGTTCGGTACTTTCCTCAATTTGCGTCCTACCCACTTCCAGCACTTCTTCCTGATTTATTCTTCCGCTAAAATTCGATTAATAAACACTTGTATCTCCAGTATGATGGCTTTCGTGGTTTTCCAGGTTTCCGCCACATACAGTAGAACTCTCTTAACATTTGTTTTGAAAATTCTGACTTTGATATTGGTTGACAGTCAGTTGTTTTGGGTTTCAAATGTTCTTCAGTTGTAAATATGCTGCTGTTGCTTTGCCGATCCGTGCCTTCATATCTGTATCAGATCCACCTTGTTTATAGATGATGCTGTCAAATTATGTAAAGGTTTTTACATCTTCCAAATCTTCTCCGTCAATTGAACAAATACAAATGTGATTGTACTAAGTTTAACGAACAACGTACTTCATTGTTAACATCAATACACAAGGATCTGAATAAAGTGGGACAGCTAACGTAAATCTAAGCAAATAAGAATTATTAGCTGATATGAATGAATTCGATTACCTGACGTATCAAACATTAAGATCAAAAGTTAGAAGTGTAAATGGAATGAATGAAATTTCTTTCGAAATTAATGTAACATACCAATTAGGTTGATCAACATATGTAATCGATTTGTTAATCCAATCTTTTATTTTGATCGAATTGTGTTCTCTGAACTAAATAGTTAAATCGTAAAGCTGCCATTGATCTTATGAACAATATGATCAGCTCAAATATGAGGTAGAAGTGAAATGCTCGAATTTCTTCAAATATAACTGACAGTCTGTCCTGTTGAATTTGGTCCTGATTGATGATTATTAACATTTAGCCTATCATTATATCAATATTTGTTTTGATTGACACTCTTTGTAATCTATTTCATGTCTACTAACAAATTTCATCTGTGTAAAGGATACGTGGATGATGTCTTTATCCTTTGTGACAATAAATCTGATCTAAACCATCTTCTATAGACATTTAGTAACTGCAACTGGGCAGTTAACCTCACACTGGAATTTGAAAACAAGCAATGTTTTAAGGTTTAATTGATAAGAAAACACGATGAAAAATTGAGATCTATCTGCAGGAAGACCTAGTAATGTAGTCAGCTATCAAGCTTTCCTAACTGAGTCATCAGTGGTTGAAAGGAAAATTAAATCGTGTCCCTTGCTGCGCCGAGACTGAGAATTTTTAGCCCAAAGACCATAGAGAACAAACTGGACCTCCTGAAGAAAATACTGAATCGAAGCTGGTATCCACCGAGATTCGTTGATAAAAGAAAATAAAAATGAAACCGCTTAAAACATAAATCAGCTTTGTAGAAAAGAAAACGACGGTTTCTGAATTGATATAGCTACAGACATCCTGAAAAAGTGAATTTACGATTCACGATGTCTCTGATTGTACATTTATGTAACTTGTAAAGCTAAAGGTCGTTAACTCTTCACAAACGAACCTGAATGATTATGAGACTAATAAGCATAAGAATGTGTTAAAACAAAGAGGGAACCAGATAAGGTTTCGGAATATCTAGAAGGTAGGAGTAGGTGTACAAGAAATTCAAGTAGACCGCCAAGTGATTTGAATGTTCATGTTTAACCAGATATATAGGTTCTTCAGTGAGTATTTTATTCAAAAAAGTTCAAAAATATCACTCAAATTTGCTGAATAGGTGTGAAAATAACTCAAGAAGAAGCTCTACTATCCAATATCTTGTGAACACAGGTCATTCAATGAAGATGAACTCTGCGTTCAATGGCATTTTGAAAGTAGATAGAAATGGCAATTGTATTTCGTCTTTTTTAGCATATCCAAAGAACTTGCGGAAAATCAATAAAACCAGAATTATATGTACAGAAGTAACTTGTACAACTTATTCTTCTATCACAGTCTTAATCTCCTAATATTTCATGTTTTCTTCTTTCAAACGTATCTGCTTCAATTTTATCTTCTTCTATATTGACCTTTACCCACAGACAATTTCTTGCTCTTTCTTTGATCTTTTCCAATACATTTCTGTTATAACGTGTGATCCGCCTATTAGAGAGCAGCGTATTATCGATCGAAACACTGACGCATAAAATACGAGTGAGCAGCCTAGAGTCCTGATTGGCCCTGCTTTCCTGTTTAGCCCAGCCAATTGAGTCCAGAACACAAATCTCAGCCTCGGTGATATGAATCATTATATTTCAAACATACACTGTTTATATACCAAACAAACTGACTACATCGTAGCATAAAATAGAGAGTAACATTTGTACAAGATTTAACCTTCAGGAAATGACACAAATAAATATTGACCAATAGGGAAATAACACGTTGGAAGAATATTGACCAATGGGGCAATGACATTATTTCTCATTCAAGAATAGCACTAGATAATTTCTAGGGTATTTTTTGAATACTCCAACAAGTTTATCTAAATTTCAACATTTTATTTAATCAGCCTGAATCATTCCTTTTCAATTGTAATTCACTATCTATCTTCATGATGGATATTACAGCACTTAACAACGACACTATTGAATACAAATAATGACTTTACACCTTTGTTCATTCTACCTCACTGTTATCATGTATAGTGAAATTTTATTATCAGTTTCATTGTAATTATAACAATATGATTAATACTAGAATGGGTTTTGTGGAGAATTGGTAATTTCAATAGTTGAAATCATGAATCCATTGAAGCTAGACCACCATGGAAAACCTGGAAGCACTGGACGGCCGTTTCGTCCTAGTATGGGACTCCTCAGCAGTGCGCATCCACGTGGATTGGTTGAAGTTAGACATTAACACCGTTGGATGCCGGCCGGCTCAGTGGTCTAGTCGGTTAAGCGCCTGGCGCGAGACTGATAGGTCCTGGGTTCGAATCCCGCGGGGGGCGGGATCGTGGATGCGTACTGTTAAGGAATCCCATACTGGGACGAAACGGCCGTCCAGTGCTTCCAGGTTTTCCATGGTGGTCTAGCTTCAATGGATTCATGATTTCAACTATTGAAATATGAATAAATAAAAACTAAGCTTTTATAAATGTTCAACATTTGTTTGATTGATTTATAAATTGGATCAATTCTGATGTGTTTATTGATTTCTGATTGAAGTGAGTAATCAATATCGAAAAATTATCTAGTGTTTTATTTATTCTTTCCATTCAGAATTTCAACATGATCTCAGTTTAACATGTTTTTAACAGTATTGTACATTGATTAATATAATCAAATATATATCATGACGCTTAATAGTTATTTGATGTTTATGAAGGCAAAGATGAATTGGTTATCCAGCAATCAACAAACATTGAAATCGATCCGATTTATCAACCAATCAGAAAAATTATGCACAAATATAGGAACAAGAATCAAACCAATAGGAGACAAAACCAAGACAAAAAGGTAAACAATGACAAATTTAAGGTCAATAAGAACCAATCAACATCAAGGTGCACAGAACAAGCTGTGAAACGCATATGGTGAAATTCGAACACTTCACTTCTATCTGAAGTTTGTGCTGCGAATGATGTCGTTCAGAAAAACGATGAAAGCTATACGACCAAACCATCCAGGTCAGAGAACAAAACTCCATCAAAAAGTTATCCATATTGTTCCATAAGATGTTTTTTTTGCAATTGAAACAGTTCATTTAACCAACCTATAATTCTCTTTCAAAATCTTTAAATATTTTAATTTCCAGTTTTTAGAGTACAACTAGTATATTCCTATTTAAATGAACACTTTAAATATTACTATTTCATGTTCAGTGTTTTATGTAATCTATTGATTATTGAATAACAGCACCTATTATGTTTGTCATACTTTTAACCACTAAATGAACATTATTCACCATGTTTGTCATACTTTTAACCACTAAATGAACATTATTCACCATGTTTGTCATACTTTTAACCACTAAATGAACATTATTCACCATGTTTGTCATACTTTTAACCACTAAATGAACATTATTCACCATGTTTGTCATACTTTTAACCACTAAATGAACATTATTCACCATGTTTGTCATACTTTTAACCACTAAATGAACATTATTCACCATGTTTGTCATACTTTTAACCACTAAATGAACATTATTCACCATGTTTGTCATACTTTTAACCACTAAATGAACATTATTCACCATGTTTGTCATACTTTTAACCACTAAATGAACATTATTCACCATGTTTGTCATACTTTTAACCACTAAATGAACATTATTCACCATGTTTGTCATACTTTTAACCACTAAATGAACATTATTCACCATGTTTGTCATACTTTTAACCACTAAATGAACATTATTCACCATGTTTGTCATACTTTTAACCACTAAATGAACATTATTCACCATGTTTGTCATACTTTTAACCACTAAATGAACATTATTCACCATGTTTGTCATACTTTTAACCACTAAATGAACATTATTCACCATGTTTGTCATACTTTTAACCACTAAATGAACATTATTCACCATGTTTGTCATACTTTTAACCACTAAATGAACATTATTCACCATGTTTGTCATACTTTTAACCACTAAATGAACATTATTCACCATGTTTGTCATACTTTTAACCACTAAATGAACATTATTCACCATGTTTGTCATACTTTTAACCACTAAATGAACATTATTCACCATGTTTGTCATACTTTTAACCACTAAATGAACATTATTCACCATGTTTGTCATACTTTTAACCACTAAATGAACATTATTCACCATGTTACAATATGAACACTAGACTTATCAATAGAAACTTGTGAATATCCTAAGTTTCTTATTAATTGACACTCATCAATAATATTGATAGGATTCATGTTAATTGTACAAATTGAATTCTCATCACATAGCTTCTTTACAGTATACTATCATTGGAATATACATACAAATCTATGATTATTAAATCAGTCATATTATTACAGAAATTTATTCTCTCATTAATACACACAACGTTTGCACAGTAATTAGTCATCTGAAATAAGTCTAAGTAAAGTGTTACATATCTTTTTAGTTCCTCCAACGACAAATTTAAGTTTTTTTTTGCACTGCAAATGGATACATACACATTCAATGACTAATGTTTTGTTGTTGTTGAAATATGAGATGTTTTTTCTTTTTAATACTGAATTCCAACTAATCAGAGACATGGCTTCCTACCTACTTAGCTACACGACTAACTGCATCAAGTTAACAAATGCCGATTGAGCAACCATTTGAAAGAATGGAAAGTAGAGTAAAAGAAATAGAGTAGGAATAACACTAACAGAAAATGCAGAGAAAGTTCAAGAGTTCTGATTATTTACGTTTCCGTATGTCAACATTTATCAAATAAAATAGTAAATTATATTGAACTATTTCTTAATGAGTCGCTTCTACGTCAGCCCTCAAATGCCCTGGTATGGCCGAGAGTGGGGAGAGTCCGCTCTCTATCTCTCGAAATGCTCTCACATGGTCACGCGTATATAGCCTCTGCCAGGGAAGTCCTACTTACTGCCTTCTCGTGGCATTACTGTTGTTTACGAAAATGAGAGGAATGTCTGGCGATTTAACCGGATCCTAAACCAATGGTGCACATGAGCTGGCTCCAGTATCCTGAAGGAACAAATGGCGTATGAACCAATCGTTGGTCACTGGCTACCATGGGACAGCATCTCCTTACGATGCTCCACTGCCTTGTGGATTAGACCTTTAGGTCGAAGGTTCGGGGTGTGGCTTCCCTAAGAAAACCACCTGCTTCGGTTTGGGCACCCGAGCAGTATCACAGCCCTCACACAAATCAAATGAGATTTGTGTGGCGCATATGTATTTGGTACCTCCTTTTACCAGTATCTATCTGTTTAAATAAATAAATAAAATACAGTGTTAACTGACTACTATTGACCAAACTATCATGTGTGTCAGCATAATATTATATTTTGTTTGATTCTAGATGGTTAGAATCAATGGAAAGGAAGATAGGTTTTCGTGTTAGCTGATATTCATCACAAAATTCGTCTTAGATAATGAGACATCTGATATTCACTGTGGAACTAAAATGTGATACTTCTGGTAATTCTAAATGTTAATCCTGAGATAAAGACAAAAGATGGGTAGTATGAAAATGTTATTTTGAAGTTTCGTTTACGTGCAGAAAAAAAAAGATATTTATGAGCCTTCGGGTATCTTTGTTAATCTGGATCTTCTGCAAATATACTGAGAAGAGTAGACATATTACTAATTATTTAATTAAAACGTAACACAGAATCCTATACTTTTCCAGAACTCACTGAAAAGTTTTGACACTGATTGAACGAAGTATTTTTGACGTTTCGGCTTTCTAAGACTTTCATAAGAAGTCTTCAGGTCTCCCTACAAAAATGCGCCTCAACTAGTGCCAAATTCAGAGCTAATCTGACATCATTTTGACTCTTATATTATATTATTATTTTTCAACATTATATTTGTGGTACACTATTGAATTCTCAGCATAAAGTATTTCAACAAGTTTCGGCGAGACTCTAATTTAGTGACGACCTTTGAACGAATTTTGAGTGACCTTGAGAATCATAGCTAATCAGAAGACACCTAGTATAACGTAGAAATATATTCGAAGAAACTAATGGATTACAGTGAATATACTTCTTTTACATGATTTAAAAACTTATCAAGGTTCGCTAAAGTTCCAGATGTTTTGAAATCATATTGCATACGGTATAAAAAGTCATAAATTCCAACTACCTGTCGAGTATATTTACGGAAATGCTACTTACACAATCCTAATTTATACTACGTCCCCTGTTGTATTTTCGCTTTCTCACTGCCGTTTTATCTGTCTGCACGATACATCCTACTTCTCCGAATGATTGGTGTACAAGTGTTATTTTAGTTGCACGGCAGTACTCATACCACTGGATTGCTGAAGTTTCATAAACAACTGCAAACGCCGCAGCCAGTGTTACTGGTGTATTTAATACCCAATTTGCAACTATTATCATAATCTGATTCAGTTTCAGTAGCAATCGAGCAAAGAAAGTTCCCGTTCTATCAGACTTTCTCCTCCAACATGAAGGACAACGAAATATAATCTCACCACGGTTATTTGTACACTTTACTGCAGTCATTTGATAACCGCAGTCTTACGTACAAGACATTTTTAGTACTCCTATCCCTTGTAGCCTCTCAATAATCACCCCTTCTCTAAAATCCGCTGTAAACGGATCATATGTGAGCATCAGGTGTTAAACTTGGCTCCCTGACCCTGAAACGACTCAAACGCTTCTGATTGGCTCGTCCCTAAATTAGAGTCTCGCCCAAGTTTCTTTTTCTTATATCTTGATCGATCCTGATGAAAAATATTGAGTGATGGCGAGTTAGATGTTAGGAGTTCGATAATCGACATTTGAATAATGTTCATTCGTTTCAATGCATATTGCAAGTCACCATGATGTCGCTGGTTGTACCTTTTTGTAATCCGTACAGCGAAAGGTTGTAAACTTCTCGTAAACTCGCCTGAATAGGTTGTGAGCTCAATAGACATAATAGTATGTTAAAACAAACAAGAAAACAGATAACTTGACGAAATATCTAGATGGGAGGAACAGGTAACCCAGATATTCAAGCAGGCCGCCGATGACAAACGTGGCCATATTAATTATATACTGAATATTTATGTACTTATTTATTTGAATACATAAATAATGGTACAAGAGTGCATCTAGTACACATGCGCCACACAATAACAATGTGGCCGTGAACAAGTAGAGAATGCAAATTCCGTATGACATAACGCAGAACAACAATGAACAGAAATTATCCAATGAGAGTGAAATAATTTAGAACAAAATGCAACCAGAGATAGTTCTTTTAGTTAAAGAAGTTACGTTCATTTTCTATGAAGAAAGCAAAAATAGTGCACGCAATATCGAGTCACTTGAACTAGTGATCAAGATGCAACTTAGTCTACAGAATTCGATCTGCACTGAGAAGCACCTAATACGAATGACACTGATCACCACCCAGTGATCAATATTATGTGCTGCAGCAAATAACAAATTTGTTATCGCACCCTAAGTTCCACACTATTTTTGAAGAAAGTGTTCGCGTTAACATTAACAACTTCTTATTAGGTTACGAAAAGTGTTACGGCAGCGACCACTTAGTCTACAATGTGCATAGTTTAAAGCACATTGCAGGGGATGTTTTAGAACATGGTAGTTTAGAGTTCTCTGCATTTCCTTTTGAATCATACATGAGAAAAATCAGGCGTTCAGTGCGTTGCGGATTCGCTGCGGAAATGTAGGTGAAAAAGCCCAAGGTTTGGGGAAATTTTGACGATTTTCCCCAGGTCTGGGGAAATTTTTGGGAAATGGCACTTCTATCTGAAGTTTATGCTGCCGATGATGTCGTTCAGAAGAACGATGAAAGCTCCACGAGCAAACCATTCAGCTCAGAGAACAAAACTCCATCAAAATCATCCATCTGAGCTACAAATCTTCCCCACCATCTCAAGACAATATCCACTTCATACAGAAATCTTCATTGATTGTATTGTTTAGAATGACAATCAATGCATTGAAATTAAATCATATATCTCAAGCAACACAACACTTAAAAAAAACATCCATTGATGCTGTAGATCATCTCTATGCCATTGAAATGATGTTGATTGTATTTTTGAATTAAAATTTTAACTAAAAACATATTCTTTATTGAGACAGAAATGAAAATGTTTGTTGACGGAATGTGCGAATATTCGTGACGTTGATATCATATTTAAAGTGATAGGTAATAATTGTGGGTATCAAATGGGGGTCACATTGTTGATGTGTAGATATATTTAGCTTATTTGTGTCAAATAGTGGGTTGGAGAATGCTGGTCAACGGCCTATGCTTCATTAGGAGTAACAGGCGTAAGTAAGTAAGTAAGTAAGTGTCAAATAGAAATAGACGTGCTTGATGTATTTTGTTATTCACTGTAGTTTATCTTAGATAATTTATATTTTGTTTGTTTCCCTGAAGGAGGTTACACCAAACTAGTATTTGAAGTGTCATGGTTTTTCAATTTTATTCACTTTGATTTCTTAGAAATCTAACTTTCATCTTAAAGCTATAACCCGTGCAGTTCACTGGAGGTCGAATCCAATAGTTTACAGTGTTTAACAAAAGTGCACCGTTTGCAGTTAAAATGATTATTGCCAACAAGAATCAAAATTAACGGTAACCACACCACTTTGATAAAAGGAATGCTTACGAAATTTGTCTCCTTGAATTTAGAAATATGTAAAAGCGTGATGATCCTCGTAAATCTTTGGTGACAGAGTTTCTTGGACTCGCTTAAATAACGTACGTTAAGACAGATCTCAAGCATTCCATTTAATACCAAATTATATTGAAAGGACCATCAACTAACACAAGACTAAGAAGATTATACTCGAGAAGGCTATAATTAGCAAAGCAAGAATTGAACAAGATGATGAGGCTAGGCATAGCTAAGCCTTCAAGTAGCCTGTGGGCACTCAACAAACAAATGACATCTGACAGGCATTCTGGAGAACAAAACCACGATTTTACCAATACTATGGAAGGAATCATTGTTTATTCGAAGATTGATTCAGTTAGAGCATAAAATAACATTCGTTTTGCACCAGGGAACATACCAAAAACAGCAATAGTGAACCCATTCGAGCTATATAAATTTCTGTGGATGCCTTTTGGATTGACCAATGCAGCGCACACTTTTCAATGATTTATCCACCAGGTCATCGGACGTTTATCTGGAGTAGATGCGTGCATCGACGATTTACTTGTAGTCACGGTCTAAGTGGACAAGCATCTACAGCAGCTAAGATAAACTTTCATGCGACTACGAGAACATGGAATCTCCATAAGCATTGAGAAGTGTGAGTTTGAAAAGGGATCCTTATAGTTCATTGGTCACTAGTAACTTCTCAAAGTAAAATACCGATCTCAGTAGAAGTCGATGGTACCAGAGATTATCCGTTACCTGACTCTTGGAAAGCGTCAAGACGATTTTTGGGGTTAAAAATTCATAACAGACACTTTATTCCGAATTGTGTGACAACACTGTAACAATTAACGGATGCGTCACGTGAATATGCTTGAACGTTTCATCTATCAACATAGGCGAAACAGGCATCAAAAAACACCAAGGAGACAATAAATAAAGAAATGACACTTGCTAGACAAAAGAGCAAAACGCCATTAACTATCATGATCGAAGCATTGAAAATGGTGCTAGACGAAGTAATTAGCAAACGGCGTGTGGGAATCCCTTTCATTTTGATCGAAGAAACTGAATTATACGCGAAAACTGTATGGTACATTTGGAAGAGAATTACCAGCAATTAACTTGACAATGGAACATTTTCGACATATGGTGGGAGGTACATTGTTTACTGTGCACACAGACCACAAACCGCTGACGAATGCACCAAGCGCGAAGCAAGTTAAATATTCTCCAATGGAAATCTGGCAGTTGGAAATTATTTACAAGTTTACGTTCAACATACAATATATTAAAGACCACGAAACTGAAATAGCAGATATACTACCACAAACAACAATAAAGGCGGCTAATCCAAGGGAAATAGATAATCACGGTAAGAGACGGACGTTGAATCAGGCAAGCTAATATCCGATGAAACTGCATCATTCATTTACGAAGATGGTCAACTCGATAGTAAAAAGCAATATATCAGCAGGACGACCACCATCATTCATTCTGAAACCATTGAGACAAACTGCAGTGGAAAGTATGCATAACATATTGCATCCGGAA